TAACTCTCGGCTATCCGGGAGACGCCGCGTCTTTGGCTGGGAGGCCGACGTTTCGCCTGACATGTCGCAGGCTTCCTCACTGCCCTGACGAAGCCTGCGACAAAGTCAGGCGAAACGTCGTGCCTCCCAGCCAACGACCCGGCGTCACTCGGTTAGCCGAGAATTTGTGGACGTTTAACGTTGTTATTGGTCTTCACACTCTTTTGTTACTCTTTGTCTACTCGAACTTTAATGCAATCAAGTTAGCTGGAAAAGGACCAGTTCTCTGACAACAGCGTATCTCTCTCTTCTCGCAGTGGGCGTGTCGAAGCGGTGGAAGCATGCTTCCACGTTTATTTAATGTGCACTCTACGTACCGTAGAATCAGTGGATGTGAATGGCGAGTTTCTTCAATACGTTTTTCAGCCTCGCTTCGTTACTGTAGTCACTGAATAAACAGCGATCAGCTGTGTGAATTAGGTCGCTACTTATCTGGTACTGCTTCCCAAAACTGAAATCTCACGCTATGCCACTGCGAGCCCCTTGTGAGAGATTGATGTAAATCTCTGCTAAGGGAAGACTAATGTCTGTAATCCCCCTCCCGTGAAAATGCTGTAGCTCGTAGTATACTAACACTGACCCAATGTTACTACAACAGCGACAACGGCAATGCCATTTCCAGAAATAGTTGCGTTTTACTCACATAATACGTGTTTTTAAATTGAACCAATGTTGGGCGCATTTTTATTTTGAAAAAAATCTGCTCGCCTAACACCGAATAAAACACAATGAAATTATTACAATTAGGCATATTAAGTGAAACAATGTGTGAAATTCGGTAGCGTTAGTCTCGTGAGTGAGAAAGTAGCGGGGACGAGGAGACGTTGTAGTGAGTGGGCGGGGTGGGCGTCGGCAGGTGGCCTGCCACATGTGCCCGGGCTGCTGAGAGCGTGTACTACTGGGCGCGTGTCAGTTCCTGCTGCGCGACCTCAAGGCGGCGGCGGCGACGCTGCAGCGCGTGCTGAGGAGCTGGACGCGGCGCACCGCCGACAGCAACCTGCTGCTGGCGCTCATCCGCCTGCACCAGGGCCAGGCGGCGCAGGCAGCGCACGCGCTCGAAGCCGCGCTCAGCAGGAACTTCGAGGTGCCCCGCGCCCAGCCACACGCCCCCGCGCCCCGCGCCCCGCGCCCCGCGCCCCGCGCCCCGCGCCCCACGCTCCACGCCCCCGCGCCCCGCGCCCCCGCGCGCCGCGCCCCGCCCCGCACCCCGCCCCGCACCCGCCCGCACCACGCCCCGCACCACGCCCCGCACCACGCCCCGCACCACGCCCCCAGCACTCACGCCCGCACCGCGCCCGCACCGCGCCGCGCCCCGCACCGCGCCCCGCACCGCGCCCCGCACCGCGCCCCGCACCGCGCCCCGCACCGCGCCCCCCATAAAACTTGCCAATTTTTTCATCTTCGAAAATATTGCAATATCGATGTATCATTTTCTTTTCCATTCTTATTATCCACACAAGTGATATCGTCAATAGCAGATTACGAAACGATTACATTTTTTACTGAAGGATCCAAATTTTCTCTCATGAACAATAATGACACGTTTGAAAATAACATTCGTGCGTCACTCAACACAAAATGTCGAATTTTTAGACTGTCACTTTTGAATTAAAAAAAAAAACATTTCGATAGCATTGAATATGTGTTTAAAATGTAGTCTTTCACCATTATGATTTCTGTATATTTTTTAAGAATTATATTGATGAATATTATAATGAATATCACAAAAGTATGAATAATTATAGTCACCAGTAAATGAGGAAAAATGGAAATAGATGACAGAACCCCTTTTTTATTTATATAGCTTACATCGTCGGTGGGTTTTGGTGTATTGTAGAAAATTACTCTGTTGTAATGGAGTAATGGGCAGCGGTAGTTGTCATTTGATGTGAATTCAGCTATACCTTTTGAGTTAAAAATATTATATTTAGCGGTAATTATTATTTTGCCAGTTGATGAACATAAACTTTCCGATCTCTTCCATATATGAATGTAAACTGTCAATGCTGTGAACATATAATAATCGATTAGTAATGTATTTGGAAAATAATTTCTCATGAGGTATCGATCCAAATATTGTCGTCCGATTGATACATTAATTAAAATTGCAAAAAAAAAACGAATGTATTCTACGAATTATTGGCGGCCGGTGGTTGCGAATTAGATGAGGCGGCATGTGTGTCCGGACAATCGCATACATTTCGTCTCTTTTGAATATTTATTGAACGAACGTATACTACAGCATGTAACGTACGACCGATTTTAATTCTTGTCCAATTCAACATTTACGTTGATAACGGCCAATGTTCAGGAAAATAGAATTTAAAAAAATATTTGCTGCAAACTAAACGGTAATTTATGAAATGAGATGAAAAAGTTGATTTTCGTAGCTTAGCTAATAGTCGCGGACTCTGCCGAACAAAACACGTTACCCCCCCCCTGCAGCTCCCAGTACCCTCTCGCTTCCATCGCCTAACATCCACCGGCTCCGGTCGGCAACGCGATAGTCCGCGATTCAGCCCATTCAAAAAACATCGATCATTCGCTTACACTGACGCATGGAATGAAATTAGTTCTCAAAACTTGCGCGATTTAGAGGAAGTTTAATTCATACTTCAACTTTTCCCGTGATTGATATTTCTGCGAGGGCTCCGCTCCCTCCTTTAGAAGCAGCTGCCGCTGCTATACTCGATTTAAACACAATGTTACGAGCTGGAAGGGGAGGGGGCATTGTCATCCAATCGGCAGCTCCAATACCAAAACTTTTAGTCGTAACGAAGATTCCGAAGCGATTGCATGGCAGCGCCCCCTTCTGCGACCAGGTCGTGGCCTTAAAGTGCCACTGTGTTTACGGCGGAGTAGAGGAAGAAGGGTTTGGTTTGCGGAGGTCCGCGAGCGGCCGCTGTACCACCTGCTGGTGGCGCTGGTGAAGAAGGGCAAGGCGGGCGAGGTGGGCGCGCGCATCGCCGCCCTCAAGGCGGCCGTGGCCAAGATGAGCGCGGCGCCGGCGCCAGGGCCGGGCGGCTTCTCGTTCCGCTGGGGCGCGGGCTGCGCGGCGCTGGCCCTCGCCGACAAGGCCGCAGTCTTCGTGGAGCTGGCCGACGCGCTGCTCGAGGCCGGCGACCCCGCGGAGGCGCACGCCGTCATGGCGCGGGCCAGCAACCTCTTCGCCGGCACGGGCCACGAGGGCCGGCTGGCCGTGGCCCAGGCCGACTTCGCGCTGCGCCGCGGCGACGCGGACGAGGCGCTGGCCCTGCTGCGCAAGGTGAAGCCCGACGACGACTGCTACGAGCAAGCGTGCTTCAAGATGGCCGACATCCACCTCAAGCACCGCAAGGACCCCGAGGCGTTCAAGCAGTGCTTCAGGGACCTCTCGGAGAACGCGCCCGAGTCCATGAGCTACGCGTCGCTCGGGGACGCCTACATGTTCATCCAAGAGCCCCTGCGCGCGATAGAGGTTTACCAGCTGGCTTTGAAGCGGAATCAGGTAGATTCGGAAATC